CCTCTTCACAGTATTCCTCCTGTTTTCACCCCTCCCCTGTACCTGACACCTGTCCAGCCTCCTCATTCTCCTCAGTTAGACCTCCCTGCATCACCACTGCCATCACTCTGCCTTCTGACATTCTCAACTCCACCCCCTCCTCTGCTTCCTCCTCATCTACCCTTCACCCTTTGCCATCTGGGGACAAAGTGTGCTCTGGGAATGGCTCATGAATGGCTCATGGCATATTCTTCCCTGGGCCATTCATTCCCTTCCTCTGTGATCCCCAGGCACTTGAGCTGGTAGCAGTCTGTGTGGGGGAGACAACAGTCCACAGAGCCCTACCTATCCTACTCTTCCTGCCCAGCCTATTGCTCACATTCCCCCGCACCTTAGCAGGTGCCCCCTCCCCCCGCACCAGATGAAAAGGATTTTGAATCAGTAGCTTCCCAACCCTCCTCCAGCCTGTGCATAAATCAGGAAAAAAAGTTTCTTCCTCTGGTTCAGTCCGTCAGTTGGCCCCAGATATCTACCACAAGCTGCAAAGCTAGAGAAGTTTTCAAGAATGAATTTGTTTCAGTTGACAGAAGTTACTCAGAAAGTTTTTCACAGCAGAGAGGATGCAGAATGGAAATATAGACAGGAGAAGAGAAAAGTGATGCTGGCAGCCCATAGGGAGGAGGGCCGGTCGGGAAATGGGAAAAAAAATCATGCTTCCCTGGATTCAGACCAGTGTGCCTAGTGCAGAGAGAAGGTACATTTCAAGTAAAAATGACCTTAGCTGGACATGACAGATAGGTACATGGCTGGGCTAGGACCATCGAAGGTTGTTGTAAGGCCCAGGCCACAAAACCTTAGAACCAATAAGGGCTTTAGATAGACTTCCTAGGGCCAGTAGAAGTGGCTAGCTTTCCCTTTCATCTGTGTTCCAAGGAGCAGGACTGGGCATGGGTTCCCATTATCTGCTTGTGGATTCCATGAAAACTAATCTGGTTCTTAAAGAAGTGTTTATTGGGGCTGGGGAGATGGCTCAGTGGAATAAGCACTTCCCTGGCAAGCGCAAGGGCCTGAGTTCAATCCCTAGTTCTGCACTTCAATCCTGGATGTGAGCCTTCACTAACGATGAACTTCTTGTCCTGGATGAAACAACTGGCACTAGCTTCTATGAGTGTGAACCATCATCCTGTCAATTTTTCCTTCCCCCAAAATGACACCCTCTTTCAGGATGAAGCAGTCTAAGAGAGTCATTGCTCCTTCATAACAACTAAAAGTCAGGAGTGATAGGTTCTGGCCCTGAGTATAAACTGCTAAATTATCACGGCCCTCATCCAACAAAGCTGAATCCCAGAAACAACAGCTTCTCTGCCCAGGGACCCTCTCTGCCTCAGCACTGAATACAACTTCCTATTACTTTTCCTGCACCCTAAGGCACATCTCAGCCAGCTCCTTGTGTCACTGAACCTGCCCCTCAAACTCCACCCTTAGCAAAATCCATTTAACCTCAGCTCCCCTTTGTCTTAGGTCAGAGGACCCCTCCCACCGCCCTGCAGTCCTCTCTGTGTTCTCTATGACAATAAAGCTCCCCTCCCTTTTACTTCTGCTTTTCTGCTGCACCGGAAAACTTAATACTCTTTATGGAAAGCTATTATTGGCTCTTTCTGGTAGAAATCTTTGTTGACTGTATTCATAGTTATCCTGTTGATCTTACTATTTGGCCCATGACACTAGTTTCTTTGGTTTTGTCTTCACCTATCCAAGATGAGACTGTCTGGTGTCTACCAATGCCATAGACTCGCTGGAGAGTGTCTCTGAGTGGTGGTCACAACTCAGATCACCTCCAGCCTGAAGAAGCCAGATTGGTCATCACTTATTGCTTCCTCATGGCAGTTTAGGGTACTTCTTCAGAGGGGCGAATATTATAGACAGCTAAGTTAGGGAGAAATATTATAGGCTTTTAGATAGGGCTAGGCTCTCAAAGGAGCAGGACACATTGCAACTGTTAGGGAGATAGGCACATCTGCTGAGGGCCAGATCTCAAGACAAAAGATGAAAGGAATGCACCCACATACTTCCCCTAAGGATAAATAGAAACAACTATGACGTAGTGTGTGAGACTAAAAAGTCACATCAGAATCTGGCTGTGGTACTACATATTTAAAATCCTCAGCACTCATAAGGCTGAGGCAGGAGGATTGCCTTGATTATATATGTGAATTCTGGCCAGCTTGTACTACATAGTAAGACCCTGTTTCTGAGTGCTGCTTGGAGCTGTGCTTTGGTTATCAGGGGTAGACAAGAACAGCAAGCAAAGGCCCAGTGAAAAAGGTGTAGATGGACTGCCATGCTGTAAGTATTTTTCTCAGACTAGTTAGCAAGGGCTACTACTTCCATTAATTATAATATGTAATGTTTATAATGTACATTAGTTGCAAGAATATAGTCAACATTATTTTAACAGTGCACAAGAATTATCTGATCCTTGTATGTGTATTCTCATGAATCATGAACCATTCTTATCCCATTTTACATATTATAGATGTGGTAGAGGTACCGAGAGGCTGAGGAACTTATCCAAGGTCACTGTCCAAAGTCAGCCTGGCAAGGTCAGTGAGCTAGCTCAGTGGACTAAGTGCCTGCTTAGGCAAGCAGAGGGACCAGGGTTCCATCCCCTGGCCACTGAGACCAGGTGTAGTGGCACACACTTGTAATCCCAGCGCTGGGAAGACTGCAAACAGAAGGATCATTACACATCTGAGCTGTGTAATGAGACCCTGTAGCAAATACATTTTTTTAAAAAGCCAGCCTGGCACTAGGCAGCCCAGTTTCTGAGCCTCTTGGTGGCAGCCATGGAAGCCGGAAAACTGGCCTCAGTGTCTAAGCAGACAAGCTACATCAGTCCCGAGATAAGCCTCCTGACTGCGTAATGTCAGCTACTAGTCACAAGACAACCTTGTATCACATGTTACTACTTTGCAAAGGTATAAATAAACATCCACATTGCTGCCTGGGGGGTCGTCTTGCCAGCCAGGCAGATGAGTCAGTTCTCATCTTCTTGTCTATCTTTTCCCTCATTTCTGCCACCGTTTCTCCCCAGGTAGAACAGGTCATACTGAGAGACCAACAGATCCCTACACCCCTTTCTTATCAGGTATCACACGTACCAGCTGATTGGACCTCATAGGACAGCTCTGCATCTCCCTGAGGGCTCCACTGTCTTACTCTTCTGCCTCTGGTTACATCTTGCAGGCTTGCCTTCCCTTCTCTGTGGCTACCTTCCACGCAGTAGTGGGGTAGCTGCAGTGCTAGAAGTCAGGGAAAGGCTGGGGCATGTACTCCGAGTTGTTTTCCAGGAAGAAGACTGGATTTTCTCTCACCCATCCACATTCTTACCCTTTAATAGTAAAGGCTTACCCTAAATGGCTGGCTCAGGTAAAGCGGAGCTGGATAGCAGTCCCCCAGCACCAACATTGTCTACACTGGATCCTTGAGGCTGGGAATGTGTTGTCTCATATGCCAACACAAACTCTGCAGGGGTGCTTAGGTTAAGGATTCTAAGTAAGGCAAGTACCCTGGGTTATTTGGATGAATAAAACATACAGGGTCTGTGTAAGTGAAGCAAGGGAGGCAAGAGGGCCAGAGTCACAGGAATCTGAAGATGCTGCCCCGCTGCTTTGAAGATGGAAGATAGAATAATGGGCCAAAAGATGATGCAGGTACCTCTAGATGCTGAGAAAGGTGAAGAACTGAATCCATAGAAGGTTCCCACTCCAATAGCCTGGTGAGACCCACTGCAGGTAGGAAATAAGGGTGGGGACTCTGTCAACAATGTCTAACACCCAAAAGTCATTTGACTAATAGAGAAAACTACTTATTTTCTTCTCACTTTGTCTCCCAACATTTACCCTCTAGGAACGTAGGACAGGAGGAAAATAAAGAGAATTAAATAAAACAATAAAATAGCATTTCCATTAGGAAGTTACAGGATACAGCTGAAAGAAAAGGAGGAATGTGGAAGGAGATAAAATATTGCTTGGAAGGTAAATGCTTGCATTAGTCTGGGTTCTCCAGTGAAGCAGAACAGAAGGAAAAGACAAGAAAGACGGACCTGGATGAAATGGCCACTGTATTAGCCTGGGTTCTTCAGAGAATAAAAGGGGTGTGTGTGAAAGAGAGAACAAGAACTGATTTAGTATGAAGAACTGGCTCCCACAATTATGGAAGATCTGCAGCTGGCCAGCCAGACACCCAAGAGAATTGAAATGGTAGTTACAGTTCAAGTGGAAAACTTAGCTCAAAGGCAGAAGACTGATGGCCAGCTCAAACAGCTCAGAGGCTGTGAATTCTTCTACCCTTCCTTCTTTTCTATGTAGGCCTCAATGCACTGGAGAAGGCCACCTCACATTGGGGAGGGACTTCTACTTCACTGATTTGGTGCTAATGTCCCACCCAGAGGAACGTCTGACAAAACATCTGAACACCAGTAACCTAGTCCTTTACCACAACCAGTTAGGTATGCCATAAAGCAAGTGTTAGAACCGCATCGTAATGGTTATATGAGGAAACATTTTTTCAGTCATTAAATAAATAATTGGAGGCTTCTGGGAAAAGATCTCTAAGGCATATCAATGAGCAAAGACAAGTCTCAGAATTGCCTCACCCCACCTTTCTGGAGTAAAGCTGTATTTGTAATCATGCACATAAAGCATCAAGAGAGCAGAAAATACACAACAGCCTAGCAATGACCTTTTCCAGGAAGCTGAGAAAGGTTAATTTCCAGCCAGTTCACACTTTCGTGGTTGGAACCTTCTGCAAAGAGTGCATTCACATGTAACTCTAAAATATGGCAGCGCGGACGGGGAGCTAACTCAGTAGAATAAGCACCCCCTGGCAAGCGCGGGGTCGTGAGTTCAATCCCTAGTACCGCAAAAAAAAAAAAAAAAAAAAAAAAAAATACAGTACAATACGGCAGAATGTAAGAATGCAAAGCACAAGGAGAACACAGGGAGCTCATGAAGTTAAAAGAAGCACTAAGGGGGAACAAAGCATAAAAGCACACCTTGCCAGGTCTGGACCGTCCCAAGTCATGCGCCGTTGACAGCTATCTGGTGCAAGAGGAAAAGGGGGACTAACGTCGGAGCAGAACCCGTCACAGGTGTGCGCACTTACAGAGGGGCGGGACGAGTTTCGAGTGGGTGTGATACTTTAAGGGAAGTTTATGTACTCGTGATGTATCTGGATGCTTCTTTTCAAAAGGATAATACTTGCGTACAGATTGCAATTCAAAGCAGAGGACACCCGGGAAGCGTCCTCCCGCCTCCGGGCCCCTCAGCGGCCCGCCGAGGGCGGAAGGCCCGTCTCCCGGAACCCAAGGCCCCCAGCGCGCGGCCCCGGCGGCCGAGTCTTCCCGCGCGCCGCCGCTCCGCGTCCCTCCCGCGCTTGCTGGGCCGTGGCAGCAGGTAGCCCTGGCCCGGGAAGACAGGCCGGCGCGGCCGAACCTCCGGCGTCACAGGAGCGCCCGAGAGGCAGTGGCACAAGGCCCTCTTGCCGTTTCTAAGGGGACGCTTCTGCAGGGACTTCCGGGACGTGGGTTGTCGGGAGCGGAAGTGCCGTGTGGCGGGCGCGGGGGGCCCCCGGAGCCTGGGCGGCCCAGTTCCAGGGCGTGGGGCGCCCGCCAGCTGCGTGGCCATGAACCTGGAGCGGCTGCGGAAGCGCGTGCGGCAGTACCTGGACCAAGTGCGGGCGGGCGGGTTCTCGGTGGGGCCGGGCGAGGGCGGGTGGGGGGGAGC